GCCAAACGTCAGCCTCGAAACTTTAATGACTTGGAGAAGATCTGCAAAGAGAAGTGGGACAAAATCCCTCCTGAGATGTGTGCAAACCTGGTGGCCAACTACAAGAAACGTCTGACCTCTGTGATTGCCAACAAGAGTTTTGCCACCAAGTACTAAGTCATGTTTTGCAGAGGGATCAAATACTTATTTCCCTCATTAAAATGCAAATCAATTTATAACATTTTTGACATGCGTTTTTCTGGATTTTTTTTGTTATTCTCTCTCACTGTTCAAATAAACCTACCATTAAAATTATAGACTGATAATTTATTTGTCAGTGGGCAAACGTACAAAATCAGCAGGGGATCAAACACTTTTTTCCCTCACTGTATATACCGAGGGCGGCTTGAGAGGTATTAAATTCATATGGGTGGAGATACGAAAAAAGAACGTAATCAGCCACTTACTAATTCATATACATTGTCTTATGTATTTAATACACACCAATTGATATGTGCGAAAGAGCTCTCGCTTCTGTTTCAGAATTTTCCGCTACGTTTTCATTTTCCAGCTGCTTAAATTTCCGTTCTTAAGTTGTCTGCCCATACGGCAGATTCACGGCTCAAGCGTCTTCAATCTCTCTCATCACCACACCCCGTATAATCCATTAGGCCAGTACAGATGTTTCACTTGCCGGTGCCACCCGAAGAGGGGATAGCTGTCCTGTACTGATTCCAGTATCTTTGTGGCCAGTGATTTTACGTGATGAATATTCTTATTTTGAGCCATATAAATAAATGGATACAGTAATACTGAAATGTTGTAAATATGGGTGGTGCCAATTTCTGCTCTGGCTCATGGATTAATAGAGGGATCCTTGATCAATGGCTATCTGGACGGTGGATAGATGTGGCTCGCCTTACCTTTCTCAATAATGCTTAGGTAAGACTATCACCGAACACAACTAAACGTCTTACGCAGGACGTGTTTTATTTCAAAATATGACCATAAAACTGACCGTAATTTTTTGTTAATTCAAATTCAGACCTGAATATATAGTTTGTATCTGCTGGGGGCGATGGATGTAACTCGTGACATTGCAGCGGATTAATTTCGGTGGCTGCGTTTGCTGCGCGTTTTATTGATTAGCAATAACAGGAGCGAAAAATATAGTCGATTTAAAATACAAGCACTGTACATCATGGGATACAGAAATATAAACAGCTGCTCTTGTTTGCCACGGGTGTTTTAATGCGTTGTGAATTCACCGAGTTTCAGGACTCACGTTCAAGTCGCTCTCTATTGGGTTGTGTGTAAAATTATCTACGTTCTAATGTGAGCATGAAATTACACCAGAGTGCCTGCATGACATCCTCGCAAAGTTGCCAAAAACGTCCACACGCATCACGCAAAGCCACAAATAACTGCCAGCGGAATCACGTGGGTATCCACGCAGACTCCATCTCTGCGTGCTCCACCAAGCCCCCCTCGTCGCTGGGTTCAACCGAATTTATAACGGTAAAACAATCATAAGCGCCGCTGTAAACAATATTAGTATAACAACACAATTAAGCAGACAATAAGCCTCCTCATATGTCAAGAACCCCGCAGAAAATATTCAAGTATCGTTTTACACATTTGAGGCACTGCATGTCGAAACTGTCCAAAGTTTGCTTGTATAAAAGCAACGTTGCTGAAAAGGTCACTCCCAAAAGGCTGTGCTGCCGATGGGACGTGCAAATATTTGATTTTTTTAGTGGACGGGCAGATATGGGAATTAGGCGAACTGTCTGCCTATTTATTTTATAACGGCAGGCAATTTCCAATAGTTACGTTTGTATTAAACGAGTAAGCTGAAATTCTAGATAATCGCCGTTTATTCTTGGATTCACCGTCATCACTAACCATTGCTGGATAAAAGGCCTCTTCAAAACAGCTTAAATGTAATCGGTTTCCATTTTGATAAAAAAAAATAATGTAATCGGTCGGCGAGCACCTTTTGAAAGTGCTGCTGCTGCTGCTGCCGCTTCCTTTGGCGTGTTCATTTCATCATCGCAGTGTATTTATGGACACCGCCTAGCACCCGTTTCGTTCTCGGCCGAATTCATTTTTTTTCCCGTGTTCATTGAAGCTGTTGCAATGAGAAAGCTGGCAATGCGCGCGCGTGTGTGTGTGTGTGGATGCTGCAGTGACTAGCACGCCGTGACACGAGTATGGAGGCTCCCCGATGAGACGCTCTCATGCAGTTGCCATCAGGCGCGCCTGTGCGTCGCAGCTGCGCCAAGCCACCCTGGCTTCGTCGGCGTTCGCTCGGGGCGGATTTAGCATCGTAAGTAATCACCGATAATTGGTGTTAATGAAAGTGTTTACTCAACTCAAATTGACAGTGACGCCGCGAGACGATGCGGAAAAAATGAACATGTTTTGGTTTTTTTTTGTCTTGTTTTCCACTCGTCGGATATACTGCACAGCTCGGCTTTGTACATCGGCGTTATATTTATCACGAGCGGGGAATACCACGTGCGCTAGGTTGACAATGTTGTACGCGCGGTTACATTATGTACGAGGCGCGCACGTGAAACGGCGACAACCGAGACTGGTTGGTGATGTTTTAGTCCTAGAATGGTGACAGAATAGCAGCCAAAGGAGCGAATGAGTCCAAGAGGATACCAACCGCGGGGATAGAGCAACGAGATCAGTTTACGTGCAGGAGTGAGATGGATGGCATAGTAGCACTGGACTGTCAGGGATTGCGACAGCTTGTGGAGGAGTTCATCTAGTAGTGGATAAGTCATGGCTGACGATGATTAATACAGGCTCGGAGCGGTGCTTGTATGGTTTCAACAGAGCGTCGTGTCGGTCATCGGTAGAGGAGCTGCCTCCCACTGAGCGATTGTTGATATGGGCTTCGACAGAAGGCCTCTGTTGCTGAAGCGGTGTGCGTGGAAATCGAGTCGATAGAAATGAGAGGGGAGAGGTAGGAGAGTGGGTGGGAGGACAGTCAAGTGACATGAGAAGGGGAGTGGTAGACATGGGCAAATCCATGGAGGATCTGAAAGATTTTGATTTAAAGCTTTCGTGACTGCAGTAATTCATATTCTTAGTTTTTTCGGTAAAGTCACGTTTGAGTTATGGTCGAAACGTCGTGAGAATTTTTTATTGTTTTATATATATTTTGTTATTTTGTTGTTTCTCTTCAACGTGACTTTACCGAAAAAACTAAGAATATGATCTGAAAGATGTTGAGTTGGGAGCCAATGGAGAGTTCCAAAAGTTGGGGTGATATAGTCTTGTTTTTCGGATGCATTGTGATAAAGTAAAATATCGCACTTCATCGTGCGATGAAGGCCTCCTCACTCAGTCGCCATTTCTCACGGTCCTGATGTCCTCGCTCCTTCTCCGTGGGAGTCGTCCTCTCGGCCGCGTAATCTCTTTTGGCAACGATCCTGACAGCCGTCTTGTCCAGGTGCCACACTCTCTTGTAGGGATACATCGTACCCAGGCCGATTTACTATTCTTAACATTCAATATGATACCTCGAACGTGCCCGTATTCCCTGAAACACATGTTCCTCATAGGGGGTACAATTGTACTTATCCACAAATATATTTTCAGCTACACTCGTCGTGCGTTGATTTTTTTTTGCATTTCATTTTCTTTTAATTAATCTTCAACGATCGCGTTAATTTTACATTCTCTACGGCGAAGCCAGCAACCGCCGTCTCACGTGGAAACAGCGAGAATATTGATTGTTTAACCGATGTGGAAAAAATAAACTGTGCCACCAACGGGACCGTCAAAAAAAAAACCCCACCACCCCCACCACTCACCAACCACCAGCCCACACATCTGTGATCTAGTCTGAGGCAGCTGTGCGAGGTGTCTCTACGCCTGGACGGCCACGCGATACGAGGCGCGGAACAACATCACGAAGAGCGAGTCACAACCGGAGTGGCGCACGCTGCATCCGTGACTTGGGATTGCATGTGTATCGTGAGAGCGCCTTGCGAATTAGCAAATAGGGTTGTTCAGGTGCTGTGTGGATTTACACATCGCAAGAGCGGGAGAGATAGCGGCGGCTTGGAGGGTGGGCGAAAAGGGGGGGGGGGTGGCTTCGTACAGTAATGGATTGATCGTGGCTGATGATGATGAAATACTGTACTTATAACCCAACAATGACCTTTGGTAGCAACCGATAGTTTATCAAGTAACTTCCGAAGGAATGTTTAGAAACTGATGTGCACTGATTATGGTTCAGCACCATGGACAGTGACCGATCTAGACTGCAGTATATTAGCACAATAAGTATGGTGCTGAAGTTTGCTTATCCGGCTCATTGATGTTGACGATTTCGTCTGCGTACAAACCACCCCACGCCCGTGACGTGCGGAATCTTTAAATGTTTCTTTTTTCGCCATAATGCAGACACCCAGTCATCGACGCTTGTATGTCACTCATCGCACGACCTGGGCTGTCTACCCTTACAGCCGACAGTCTTCTGTGGCAAATTGAATCTGACTCCCTAGTTGAGCGCGTTTCTGGTCCTGTATAGTGTTTGCGCTTCATCGCTCAATGTTTTGACGCTGTTGAATGAAGGCCCTCCCCACGCCATATCGGTCGTGCGGGTTCTTTGATTCTCTGTCGGTCAATGCCGGTTTGGTGAAGTACGCATCGGCCAGGACCGGTTCAGATATCACTCGCCACCGATGCTATAGCCATGGCCGGTCATCGAACTTAGGGGGCCGGGTTAATAGTGGAGTAAGCGATATATTGCATTGCGCCACTGCAAAAAAATCGGATGCGTTTTGTTGAGTTGATTCCACGACAGTTGATGTTTTGTTGTTGCTAGAATCCACTGAATTCGCCAGTGAGTGTTGGGAAGAGGAGGTTCCTGGTGCGATCGCCACGGAGATGAGTGGCCAAAGACCTCTCACCGCAGCGCTTACGTGCGTCTGTCTGTTCTGCGGCCTATATTTAGCCGGTGTATGCACTGCTTAAAAAAAAGGAAAGTGCCCCGAGGGAGTTGCTTTAGCGCGGACGTACGTCATGGCATCGCCCCATCAGAAGCGGGGATTGTTCGGCACTCCCGCGCCTCAAATGGAACACTCCACCAGAATAATTAAGCGCACCTGTGTCATTGCGTCACAATCACCGCCAACTCGAAACGATAAAGGTGGCGGAGTGTTCCATTCGGCTTGTGGGGGGTGGTGGTGGTGGGCGCGTTTGCGGTCTTTGTGTTTTACTCTCACATGTGTAATCATTGTAGGGTTCCAAATCGTACCCCGTACGCTTGGCAGCAGCTCACGTTCGCTGCACGCTCCCCGTAGCGGCCCCCATAGCGCGCGACCGAGGGACTGCGTGCACCGGCGAGGCGCCGTGCTCCGACACTCCGAGCCGATGGGGTCCGCTATATCAGCACGCCGCTCGGCAGTGGGCCCGACCTCTCGGAAGGGTGGTGGTCAGGCGACGGTGACTGTCAGGGAGCCCTCCTCCACCTCATCCATGCCCGCGTCCCGCGGCCGCGATCCTGGGAATCTTCATGAGCGCGCAGGTAACGTGAACGAGGCCGCCTCGGACTGTGCCTGCGGAACTTGGGGAAAACTGATTTAATGGAACTTGTAGAACAACGGTGGCTTTGCTGACACACATACTGCTGTGTGATGTGTATCTGCGTGTGTTTGTGGATATATATATACACCGCTCCGCTTGTCTCCGAACAATTGCGCTTTAAGTGGTAAAGTTGCTCGTCACGAATGTTCGCAACTTTGGGCAAAAGTTACTCTTTCATTGAACCCCTTACACGCTGAAACCAGTAAATGTATTTTTATCCGATTCTGATTTTGTTGGATCCTATGAAGCCTGGTATTCTCGTCGCGTTACGCATTACGTGTCGCGTCTTTCCTTTTAAATCACACAGACGACTACCATCTCATTACAACTCTACATTATCGTTATGAATATACACGGAAGGCCACTACAGTGCATCTCACGTTGCAATAAGTACGCAGGAGAAACATCGCCGCTGCGCACGGTTAAGTTAATTCGTTTGAGAGAACCTTGCGAATGTAAATTTGCTTGTAGACAACCGCACCTTCGCCCGTGGCTAAATGTGCTCCGACGGAGGCAGAATTTGACCCTCTAGCGCCCACACCGCACCCGAAGGAGCGGTTCATGGATGAAATCCAATCCTACGGCTATGACGCAGGCGAAAGCGCTTAATCAAGCCCCTTGCACAGAGTGGGCTGTTTGTGTTTGAGCAACTAATAATCTCACATCGCGGCCAGCTATAAACCCCAGCGGATATAATTACAGCGGTGGGCAACTCCTAGACTCCGTGGGCTGCATGCCGCAGTCAATCTCTGGTAACAATGTCGACCAAAGTTCGAGCTAAAGTTCGCGGGCCGACTCTGTAGGTTTTAGTCCATGGACCCAGCCTGTACTGTGTTGCTCTTGAGGTGCCACGTGAAATGGCAAAAATTGTAGTTGGACCAACATTTTCAGATCGCCAATGAAAGTGAATCGTCAAATAGCCTAATTTATTTAATAAGTACGCGATCACATAATCCCCTTTGTATTATCCGCAACGAGAAACTGGTCCTCCGAAATATTTGTCGCTACCTGTGGTACCGAATCCTTCTCCGGCTCATGGCCTATTTTTGGCAGTTGTGAAACTCGACGTTTCGCTCCACATCCGGGAATCCGCTTCAATTCGCTCCCTGAGCGAAACGTCCGACATGCCGAACACCACGTGGTGCAAGTCGAAAACATCGCAGCCACAGTTTAGTGGAATGTCACGGCTCACTCTTGCCCGCGATCCTGGTTCCTTGACCACGAGGTCGAACATTTCCCCCTTTTCGTAACTAAAGTTCCTGTGGAGTGACACGAATCTCTGCAGGTGGACTCCCAGTACAGCCTCTCACAGGGATCCAGACTCCCCCATGATTCTACCCGCAATAAACTAACCACATCATGAGCACTATAACCAACCTCTCCCCTTCCTGCCTTCACACAAAGACAGAGATCCCCGTATAGCCTTGGGATACATTTGGGGAAAGTGCCGTTAGCGAGCACCAATGACACACAAAAAGACAAAGATCCCCCGTATAACCTTAACAGACTATAGGAGCAAATACTGTTAGCGAGCACCTATTAAGGCCGGTACGGCACATGACGAGGTGGTGTGGTTAAAACTAAATCCGGTCATCTTTATTATCTCGCATGACCCCCAGGAATTCGATTAAGGCTGAATCGACATAATGGTGGCCCAGAACCGTTACAGATATCACTCGCCACTGATGTTAGCTGTGGCTGGGAATCGTACAAAGATCACCGGGTCCGTAGCGCAGTGCGATAAACCACTTTACACAACAGCACTTGCACGGGCTGCAGTCGCACACGCATATCGAATAACACGCGCACACGCACAAAATCACGCATGCACTCGCGTGCACTCGTACACACGGACCCAGACAAAGACTGTCCGTGTAGCATTATAAACTTGGGATGAGTGCCGTTTTTAAAGGGCACTTAATGTAGGAAGGCTGCAAACCGCACACGAGGGTCTATGGCTTGTCCAGTACCACGCCCGGGGCTGCCTTTCTCTGCCCCAGTGCTGATGTTCACACGAAAACAAATATCCTCCTATGGCCTTTAACAGACTGTTGGGACAAGTTCTGTGTCGCAAGCACCTATGCAAGCCGGAACGTTACACGGGGGGGGGGGAGTGGTTGCGACGCTTACACAACCGCACCAGGCACTCATTTGAGGCCGAGTCGGCCTACGGGAATGCACAGGATCGGTTTAGAAAGTCGTCACCGGTGTTGGCCGTGAGCTGTGATCGAAGCTCAGGTCGCTGGGGTTCGTAGCGCGCAGCGCGTTAACCTCTACACGAACCTCTTCCCCTAAGCACAAACACCCCAGCGAGCCAGGTGAGTCGCCGGCACGCAAACAAAAGCGTACCGAGAGGAGCATTACGACAACCAAACAAATGAAAAATACCCACGGGCAAAGCGGCCAGTGGCGGCACTTTAAGTCAGACGGAAGAGCACGAGAGGCAATCAAATAAAAAAATCAAATTGGAAGGAAAATTGTCCGACGAATCCTGATGTTTCGCAAGCGCAACCCACCAAAGGGAAAGTAACTGCGGGGGGTGAGAGTGTGAATCGACCGTCGTCAACACGGACTCCTCCCACCATTTCAACAGCTCGCACGTTCATCATCCCTCTGGGAGCGGCGTCCCTGAAAGCCAAAGTCGAGTTGAAAGCCGATTTCTCTTCTCGGTGGCGTCGCCTAGCGGACACGCGTGGGAACCGCGGCTTCCGCCCTTGAGAACGGGACCGGTTAATCATAATAATATCATAATAATATAATTAGGATTAATATCTCTCACGTCTGTCTGGCGCGTCATGAATGATACTCATGTCAATCAGTCATCGTGAGCAAATTTTATTTTGGGAATTAGTGATCAAGTGTACGACTTGTGTAGATGAATAATCCACATACAATAATAGTGTGGTTATAATAATACTAATCCATAACGATGCATTAGCTCTTTCTTAATTGTCGCAAATGACCATCATCAATATAATCAATTCACAATCATCCATCGTCATCAATACTCACCATTATCGTCAATTATCACGAAACATAATCCAATATTTTTTAATGCATTGGATGGAAACCAATGTTTAATAATATCATTGATAAATAATCAATGCATTATCGATAACAAATAAACGATAATCAACTGTATAACCAGCTGAGAGCACATCGATAAAGAGGTATTTTGCAAGGGAGAGCTGGTTTCCAGGGTAAATAATAATGTTAATTTAAAGTCCTTGGTCAATCCACTGCTGCATCCGGTACAAATAACTCGATGCAGAAACACGGACAATTAAACTATGAAATAAAGTCGCTACTTATTAAGGAATAAAATATCATATATGCAAGGACGAACGTAAAAAGAAAAACTGCACCGCTATACCTTTCACATATCCTCACCTACATCCAGTACCCACCCCTGTCTCACTACATCAGTACTCTCACTCCTGTATAACTACATCACCACTCTCACTCCTGTCTCACTACATCACCACTCTCACTCCTGTCTCACTACATCACCACTCTCACCCCTGTCTCACTACATCACCACTCTCACTCCTGTCTCGCTACATCACCACTCTCACTCCTGTATCACTACATCACCACTCTCACCCTGTCTCACTACATCACCACTCTCACTCCTGTATCACTACATCACCACTCTAACTCCTGTATCACTGCATCAGTACCCTCACCCCTGTCTCACTACATCACCACTCTCACTCCTGTATCACTACATCACCACTCTCACCCCTGTATCACTACATCAGTACCCTCACTCCTGTATCACTACATCACCACTCTCACTCCTGTATCACTACATCACCACTCTCACCCCTGTCTCACTACATCACCACAATCACCCCTGTCTCACTACACCACCACTCTCACTCCTGTATCACTACATCACCACTCTCACCCCTGTCTCACTACATCACCACTCTCACTCCTGTATAACTACATCACCACTCTCACTCCTGTATCACTACATCACCACTCTCACTCCTGTATCACTACATCACCACTCTCACTCCTGCATCACTACATCACCACTCTAACTCCTGTATCACTGCATCAGTACCCTTACCCCTGTCTCACTACATCACCACTCTCACTCCTGTATCACTACATCACCACTCTCACCCCTGTCTCACTACATCACCACTCTCACCCCTGTCTCACTACATCACCACTCTCACTCCTGTCTCACTACATCACCACTCTCACTCCTGTATCACTACATCACCACTCTCACCCCTGTCTCACTACATCACCACTCTCACTCCTGTCTCACTACATCACCACTCTCACTCCTGTATCACTACATCACCACTCTCACCCATGTCTCACTACATCACCACTCTCACTCCTGTATCACTACATCACCACTCTCACTCCTGTATCACTACATCACCACTCTAACTCCTGTATCACTACATCACCACTCTCACTCCTGTCTCACTACATCACCACTCTCACTCCTGTCTAACTACATCACCACTCTCACTCCTGTATCACTACATCACCACTCTCACTCCTGTCTCACTACATCACCACTCTCACCCTGCCTCACTACATCACCACTCTCACCCCTGTCTCACTACATCACCACTCTCACTCCTGTATCACTACATCACCACTCTCAACCCTGTCTCACTACATCACCACTCTCACTCCTGTCTCACTACATCCCCACTCTCACTCCTGTCTCACTACATCACCACTCTCACTCCTGCATCACTACATCACCACTCTCACCCCTGTATCACTACATCAGTACTCTCACTCCTGTCTCACTACATCACCACTCTCACTCCTGTCTCACTACATCACCACTCTCACCACTGTATCACTACATCACCACTCTCACCCCTGTATCACTACATCACCACTCTCACTCCTGTATCACTACATCACCACTCTCACTCCTGTCTCACTACATCACCACTC